CCGTCTCAAAAAAAAAAAAAGAAATATATACTTTATAAATGACCAAGAACTAGTTTACCATATTATATCAGTAGTTAAAGAAGTTTACCAAGGAGAATTTATACAGTAGATAGCCAAAGCCCCAAATTATTTCAGTCTTGCTTGTTATTCTGAATTTGTATATATAAAAGCATAAAAGCTAATACTTTTGTATAAAAGTAATAGGTATTCATGTTAGACTTTGTTGAGGCCTAAAAAATATTAGGGCTTTTTTTTTGCCAGTTTGTATAAATTCATTATAAAAGGCTGTAATTTTTTTTTTTTTCTTTTTGAGATGGAGTCCGAGCTTTGTTACCAGGCTGGAGTGCAGTGGCTTGATGTTGGTTCACTGCAGCCTCTTCCTCCTGGGTTCAAATAATTCTCCTGCCTCAGCCTCCCAAGTAGCTGGGACCACAGGCATGTGCCACCACGTCCAGCTAATTTTTGTATTTTTAGTAGAGACAGGGTTTACCATGTTGGCCAGGATGGTCTCAATATCTTGACCTCGTGATCTGCCTGGCTCGGCCTCCCAAAATGCTGGGATTACAGGCATGAGCCGCTGCACCCGGCCAAAAGGTTTTAATTTTTAAATCCAGAAATTTTAATTGCTGGGGACAAATTTCAGAGCTGCTTTATTTTTTAGTTTATTTGGACTTATTTCACTATAGCTCAGAGGTTTAAAATTATACTTGAATTCTCCTTGTTATCTCAGTAGTAATTTGAGATTTACAAAAAAGGATATTTCTCCTACTTTTATTGATTTGGACCAGAGTTTAGATTGAAACAGAGAAGGAAAGATGGATAATGAACAGAATTGAAAATTCCAAGATCACCATAACCCAAGCCACATCTTAGAAATCTGGAAGACACTACTGCTTCTGAGGGCATGCTTGGTTTTCTTGTTGAGAACTTTTCCCCCTCATGCCTAGCAAGAGGAAAGTAACTAATGTCACAGAATTAAATGACAAGGCAATAATGGGAAATTAAGTATAATTTTAGATGTGCTGGTACATCAAGAACTTAAATTCAATTTGTGTGAGATATAAGGTTCTGGTGATTGTCCTGTAACTCTTCACTGTTATCACAAATCACCCCTCCCAGTTCTTCAGACAAAGTAAAAGCATAAAGAGACATGGACTTCCTGCTTTTAAGTAGAAGAAAATAATAATATCCTGCATTTGTTGAGACAGGAGATCAAGATTGGGTGGGCATATATACCATTTTTTACCTATTTAAATAGCAAGGGTTATTTTAAGTGAGATTACTTCATGTTGGCAAGTGGAGTGACATGGACATGCTTATATACTGCTGGTGGGAGTATAAAAATGATACAGATTTTGCAGGGGGAGCAATTTGGCAATATTTATCATGATCCTTAAATATTACTTTGACCCAGTCATTTTTCTGTTGAAAAAGATGTTCAGTGTAGTGTTAATTAAACTAAATTCCCTAGTCAGGTGTGGCAGCTCCATATTTGTAATCATGGCACTTTGGGAGGCAAAGGCAGGAGGATCAGTTGAGGCCACGAGTTCAAGACCAGCCTTGGCCACATAGCAAGACCCCACTGTCTCTGCAAAAAATAAAAAATTTAGCCAGGTACAGTGGTGCACACCTGTAGTCCTAATTACTCAAGAGACTGAGGCAAGAAGATCCTTTGAGCCTAGGACTTTGAGGCTGCAGTGAGCTATGATTGTGCCACTGCACTCCAGCCTGGACAACAGAATGAGACTCTGTCTCTTTTTGGAAAAAAAAAAAAAAAAAAGAAAAAGAAAAACAGGGCTGGGCATGGCGGCTCACACTTGTAATCCCAGCACTTTGGGAGGCTGAGGCAGGTGGATCACAAGGTCAGAAGTTGAGACCAGCCTGGCCAACATGTTGAAACCCTGTCTTTACTAAAGATACAAAAAATTAGCTGGGTGTGGTGCAAACACCTGTAATCCCAGCTACCCAGGAGGCGGAGTTTGCAGTGAGCTGAGATCATGCCATTGTATTCCAACCTGGGCTGCAAGGTGAGACTTTGTCTTTTTTTTTAAAAAAAAAAAAAAAAAAAAAAAAAAAAAAAAGCAGGATGACTCACACCTCTAATCCCAGCACTTTGGGAGGCCGAGGGGGCAGATTGCATGAGCCCAGGAATTCAAGAGCAGCATGGGCAACGTGGCGAAACCCTGTCTCTAGAAAAAAGATACAAAAATTAGCTTGGTATGGTGGCGTGCACCTGTAATCCCAGCTACTAGGGAGCCTAAGGTGGGAGGATAGCTTAAACCTGGGAGGTTGAGGCTGCACTGAGCTGTGGTTGTGCCACTGCACTTCAGCCTGGATACCAGAGTGAAATCTTGTCTCAAAAAACCCCAAAAACCTAAGCGCCCGATAATTAGGGAATGCCTAAATAAATTATGGTAAACACACAATATGGAATGCTATATAGCTATTTTTAAATGATACTTGTGAAGAGTTTGTATAACATGGAGAAATGTTTGTTCTTTTGTTAAGTATGGGACTAAAAAGTCTGGAAGAAAATATAGTGTAATTAGGAATTTTGTATTTATTTTCTTTTCAGTGTTTCCAGTTTAATTACCTGAAAGGAAGGAATAAGGCCAACCAATAAAGATTAGCTTTAATGGTTGTTCTCAAACAACCGATAAGGAAAGGAGCACAACCAGAATATGGAGATGCAGAAAACATTATGTGTTACACAACTTGGTATACCATGCCCAGCTAATTTTTGTATTTTTAGTAGAGATGAGGTTTCACCATGTTGGGCAGGCTGGTCTCGAGCTCCTCACCTCAGATGTTCCACCTGCCCTGGCCTCCCAAAATGCTGGGATTATAGGTGTGAGCCACTGCACCCAGCCCTCAACTTGGTTATTTTGTTTTGTTTTGTTTTTTGAGATGGAGTCTCTCCCAGGCTGGAGTGTGGCATGATTTTGGTCCACTACAGCCTCTACCTCCTGGTTTCAAGCAATTCTCCTGCCTCAGTCTCCTGAGTAGCTGGGATTACAGGTACACGCCACCATGCCTGACTTTTTTTTTTTTTTTTTTTTCGAGATGGAGTCTCACTTTGTCACTCAGGCTGGAGTGCAGTGGTGCACCTCAGCTCACTGGAGCCCTCGCCTCATGGGTTCAATCAATTCTCCTGCCTCAGCCTCGTGGGTAATTGGGATGACAGGCACACGCCACCATTCCCAGCTAATTTTTTTGCATTTTTAGTAGAGATGGGGTTTCACCATATTGGCCAGACTGGCCTCAAACTCCTGACCTCAGGTGATCCACCCATCTCGGCCTCCCAAAGTGGTAGGATTACAGGCATGAGCCACCATGCCCAGCCTTCAGCTTGCTTCTGATGAGTAGTTTGGAACATCTTAGCCAGTTTTAATTTGATGTAGAATAGGTGAATGGGGGTCTTCCCTTCCTGTTCACTTCCTGGAACTATCCTAAGTGTAAGTTAAGTGGTATTTCAAAACCCCTGTAGTGTATATCCATATTATAGAAGCAACATTGAGTTAAGTAACATCTTATTCAAGCATTAGCCAGTGTGATTGCCTTTCAGAACACTGGGCTGTTCTCAGTAGTTTCTATATAGATGGAGAAAGGAGGATTTTTTTTAAGAGACTTTAATCACTGTAAATGTCCTTCAGAATACCTGTGAGAGTCCTAGAAATGAGACCAAAGTGGGGCAGGGGGAACTAAAAGTAAGGGAAAGAAAGAAAGGCAGGAAGTAGGGAGCAGAAAGAAAGAAAACAAAGCAAAAAAGCCTGGCACCAATATGACAGCTTCAAACTGCTGTGTCCCCAGGGCTAACAACATAGTACCAGGAATAATTTTCTCTGCTTTCAGGCCTATAATGAGGAAATTTCCCTCTGACCAATATCAGGGGCACATCAGCTGCTGTACTAAGTTTCTTCAAATATCCTGGAATTGTGATGAGTTTGAACCCATTAGCTACCACTTCTACAACTGTTCTTGGAGTTATGTGGATGCAGTCCCATTAGATATATAGAATCATTGGTTTTTCTGTACTAGATCTCAGTAAGTTCCCATTACATTTGCATTAGGATTAGTAGAAGTGGAATATGAGATGTGCTTTGGAAAATGAGTATGATTTGGACACATGGAAGTGAAAAAATGAGGGAATTGATATAAATCAGGACACAGGAAAAGTCAGAATATACATTTCTGCAAATAGTTTACTGGATTTTGGTGGCCTATGCTTATGCTTGAAACCTTTTGAGGGGTTTTCTTGTGCAAGCAGTTTAGTAAGATATATGAGGGGACAGAAGAAAAGAGTCAGTTGAAAAGATTAATTTATATGGAAGACTTTACATTCCTTAGGCAATAGGAAACCTTAGAGACTCTTTGAAATCGAGAGTGGCCTGATACGAGTTAGGGTGTAGGACAATCAATCTGGCAACCTTGTGTAAAGGAGTGAGAGAAGGGAAGAGGGTTTGGGCAAGGAGATCCATTAAGAGGCTAGTACAGCCAGGCGTGGTGGCTCACGCCTGTAATCCCAGCACTTTGGGAGGCCGAGGCGGGTGGATCACGAGGTCAAGAGATCGAGACCATCCTGGTCAACATGGTGAAACCCCGTCTCT